ATGCTCTGAGCAGCCTCACGCAGACACTGCCAGATGCTTTTACAACGCCGACGTGAACACTCATCCCAGCAAAGGAAAACACACCCTCGCCAGGCAGCCCGATAACCGTGCCTGGCTGCTGGCGGTCAGGCCAGGTGCTGCAGGCTCCCCGACCGACACACTGTGTTCACGCCACCTTCAAAGCGCGCTGCTCTTTGGGGCAGAACACACGGCCGAGCCCCAAACCACTGAGATGGAGAGGCGAGAGAGACTGCCCGGACAATGAAGGCAGTGGCATATATTTTAATATTTTGGGCTGTGATTGTCTGAAGAATAGATTTTGTGTAATTTCCTCCCTAACTCACGAGGGCTGAGTTCAGGAAGTACAGTACGATTCTGGGGTAACAGAGAGCCACAGGTGACTCAACATCATTAGCTCATTATTTGCAGCACACTCTGTGTCTCGCACACATGCACGTACCTGCTTCTTTGTTCTCGACCTACAACATCTGTAAAACTGTTTGCACTCCTGGCAAAAAAATGCTGATGTCTGCTTAAACACTGACATCTCAGGTACACAGGATTTCGCTTAAGCTCGGCATGGTTTTTCAGGTCCTATTCCTAAGGTGTGAAGTGTTTGTGAACTTAGGGTACTCCTTCAAGGCTTCAACACTTGTGTTTTAGGGACTTCAACATTTTTACTGGGTATTTTCTAATGAATTCTTAAGCAGCAAGTAAGAGAGCAAATGACTTCTGTGCTCCATGGGGAAACACCTGAACCCATAGCTCTCAAAGCTTTTCAAGAGCATTCATCAAGCCAGTTGGTACAGAGAAGAATAAATCCATCCAGCGTCCTGAACACCAATGCCTGTGAAATCAAAAATGGGAATCTCCCTGCTATACGAGATCAAGAAACTCGCTACTGCCAGGAGGCAGGACTTGGGGATACAGGAACAGAAAGATCCGCATCGTAGCTCCATCACATTTCACGTGGCCACAAAACACAGTGCAGCCACCACTGCACGGCACCTGAAAGGCCCGAGCCACCCCAGCAGTGCTCGGCAGCCCCACGCTCTTCCACTTTCGGCAGCGTCTGTTCTTCGAGTTGGCCGCACACTTGACCTGGCTAAACCTCTCTCCAGCTGAGAAAGCCGCGTGTTGTGGCAGCCCGGGCTTGGGAGGCATTGAGAAATGAAGTGCTCATTTGTGTGTCTGTACACAGAAGGCTGCTTCCAGCTCCCAGCTGCTTCACCCGAGTGCTGCTGGGACCTGAGCTGTGGGAACGCGGCCCCGCTGGCATTGGGGGTGTTCACACGCGTGCAAGGAGAGTTCTCATCCCCCCTCGCTGCCTGATCGGACAGTTTTACTAAACATACAGATGTCTGGCACACAGCTAGGAAACGTGGAAGCACCAAACTCTGCTCAGTTCAACGTTCAAAAGAAAAAAAAGTTGAAAAGAGGCAGAGGCGAAGCCACCCTCCTCTCCTGGAAACAGCAACCAGAAAGCCTTGGGGTGTGTTTGTTTGAACTAGCTCCATCAGAGACATACCTGCGTACAGAGCACGGTGCTGCTCCACACGGGGTGGAGAGAGGATCTCAAAGACAAACCAAGGCCGCGTCTACACCAGCAAGAGGACACAACATGCACCAGCTGCTGAGCTCAAGAAAAAGGCTTTGGCACCGATGGTGGATTTCTAGGACCCTGTTTTGCAATGCTGTCAGGTTCTTCACATTTTGAATCTCTGGAAATAACCCAGAACACATCGGTTGGGCTCCATGCTGATAACCATGGATCAAATGCGAGACAGGTAGGGAAACGGGCCTCCCCCTCATGCAACAGCAGTGCTGGTACTCTGAGACCGGACAGAAATCACAGCAGAAAAAAACCTGTGAGAGCTCGTGAGAAGGTGGAAAACCCAGCAAAGGATACAAAGGATGATGGAGAGGTTATAATATGGCTCAGGAAAAGAAAGGATCTTCTGCTCATCCAAGGATTAACGAGGAGGATACAAAAACCAAAACGTTGAAGGGGGGTAAGGAATGGGGCTGAGACACCTCTGGTTCCTGCTGTGGTGGTGCTCCAGCTGTCAGGACCCATGCCAGCTTTTGGTGAGGACCCTTTGCTGACTTCAGAGCTCCAGAGGCAGATGGAAGCTGCTTCTGCCAGTGGCAAGACCAGGCAACACACATCTTGTTCAAGCAACCCCGCTGAGCCAACCTATCTGGCTGAGTACAGCAATGGACAGATAGGCACGGCAGATGCTGCACAGGGGCACACGGTGAGACTTCAGTATCTAGGCAAAGCTTTGCCTCGCAGCACCACTTACGGACCAACCCAACAGGAGGGAGGAGGAAAAGGCAGTTTTGCCAGCATGTCCAATCTGCAGCGGGGGCTCGTGCCAGCCCAGCTCCTCCATTTAGAAGTCAGAGCCTTAAAAGGCAGAACTGTGCTGGCAGAAGCCTCCAGACCTCCCCACACAACCCTCACAAAGACACACGGAAAGGTCAGAAACCTCGCTGCTTCTTCTACAGCCCAGCAGTCCCATCCATCCCAAGCTACCAGCATCCCAGCAGAGCCCCGAGGCGATGTGTACACAAACACACAAATAATCAGGAAGCTGATAAAAAAAAAACAAAAAACTCTTGCAAGTAGAAGACAGAACATCTGACACAGCAGATTACGGCACACACCACGCCACCACCTCTGTATGGAGCAGAACAAAGCAAGGCAGAGATCTACATCAGAGAGGAAGCCCACCACAAAGGCACACGTTTCACACTTTCATCCCCCAAGACAGACAGACAGACACAGATAGACATGAAGCCCAGCACACACGCGAACCCCCCACGGGCCGGCGGTGACTAACGTAACACCCAGACACGGGATCATCCTCGCGTTTCCTTACGAGGAATCTAAACTGCACCCCGCTGTTCCTTGCCCTTGGCCACAGTCTGCCAGCCTGCGAGCCAGATTAAATCTTGCCGTAATTATCTGCGCACACGGCTCCAGCACAAATGACCTTAGCATATGATATCCACTGGCTAAGGCCAATGGAAAAAGACCACAGAAAAAGGCAGGATAAGCATCCAAAGCCCCAGCAGCGACGTCAGGGTTTCTTCAAGACTGCGCCATGTGAATAAGAGCTGCGGGGACAACCCCGCAGCCTGGCAACTGAGAGCCCATTCTGCATGGATGCAGGATTTGTGCCCTGACCCCTGAGCACGTACCAGCCGGACCTTCCCCATCAAACTCCTCCCAAATGAAACTATCCAGAGACTTTTAATGTTTTATTATGACAAACTTTTGCTTTTTTTTTTTGGAAAAATTTACAGTTGTGATTTTCTTATGTCATTTTTGGTGTCCACTGTGAGGTGCCTTGAGGCCACCCTCCAAGGGGCTGTGTGCACATTGTGGTGGGTGGGTTAGGAGCACTTGACATGCTCTGAGCTAGGACCTGTTAAAAGGTCACCAAAAGCAAGGCAGTGCCCAAACTTGGCAGTCTTTTCCTCTTCTCCACCTGCACCCTCACCTGGGGCACAGATCAGATCACACAACTGAGCAGTGCCACGGAAGCCTTGCAAGGAAAGGCACTCAGCCCTCTAACAACATCCATTTTAATCAAACTGGGGAAATGACCAAGCCAGGGCCATGCGACCAGAAGGCAAATAAAAAAGCAGAGACCGTTTTATTTTGCTCCCCAAACAAAGCATGCCCTAGAAAATTCATTTCCCAACCTGGGAAATGTCTCCAGGTCCTGAGCCCTCTCCTCCCCTCGCAGACACCTGCAGGCAGCCACCCCGCCAGCCCTTTTAGCACATGACTGCCAGCAAGCAGCCAGGCCATAAAAACACATCTACCTCCAGCCACGGGGAGAAGGGGGCTCCACACAGGCTCTGGCTGCTGCCACCTGGGAGGGAGGAGAAGGAGGGAAAAAGGCTGAAATGGGGCTAAGAGACAGGCCTGGGGAGCACCTGCATGCAGCTGGGGGGGCTGGTCCTTTTTGGGGGGCCCAAGCTGCTGCCCTGGGTGCCTGGCAAGCCTCCTCTGTGTGTTTGGTTTTCAACTCCAAGCTGTGTCGGAGCCCAAGCGGGTGTGCACGTTTAACATTATATTCATTAAGTTAATTGAGGGATTTCACCGAGCGTTCTCCGTGGGCTCTAAACGCTGCTTCTTGTGTTAGGGGTTGTGTCACTGCCCTTCCACTCCTGGCACACGCCGAGGACAACTCCTGGAGCCTGCGATGTTGGAGCCGGGATGCAGCCCCAGAGCCACAGGATCCTGGCCCCCCACCTCTGGGATCCAGCTCGGAGCGAAAGGCAAACAAAGGCCGCCTAAAAAAGCCGATCCGCAGGGGCTGGCTGGCCTGGGGCCGGCACGGCGTGCCCTCAGGTGCTGCAGCTGGCCCCGCACAGCTCCGCTTACCCAGCCTGCCACAACCCAACCTGCAAAAAAAGCCCGGCTGATGGGAGCTGGGGCTCCCTGGGCTCCCCTAAAAGCACACGCTTCTCCATCCCCATCCTGCACTGCATCGCACACCAGCAGCCTGCGTGACAGCCAGGATCTCTCGCAGCGGCCCCGTTTGTGTTCCAGCAGCAGCATTCAGGCAGCCCAGCCCCTGCCTCCCTCCCTGGAGGCACGCAGCAGACAGCTCGCCGTTGGGGCTGGAGCACCCAGCGGGATTTTTCTCTGGCTCCTTCCTTGTCCTGACCCCTACCGAAGCTCCTCCGAGCTGAAATCACACGCTTCCTGCTTGAGCAAGGGGTTGCAGGGATCAGGCTCCACATCCAAACCCCCAAAAAAACCCACACATCACCCCGCAGCCCCTGCCAGAGGTGCAGGGCAGGGGCCCCCCAGCACACGTGGTGAGATCGAGGAAGGCGATGAGACCGCTCCCCGACCCTACAAGGAAACCCGGCGGTAACACATCACCCATCGACGTCAGCGACATTACAGAAGATTGCTTTTCTCTTTCTCTCCCCCCCTGCCCCTATTTAAAACAAGAATTAAAGGCGTGACTTACCCTGGGGGCTTTCCTCTTGTATTTGTTGTTATAGTCAAATTTTTCTTTCATTTCATCTAAGAGCTGGCCCAGCCTAGCCTTCTCCTCTTTCCCAGTGTAATCCTGGCTGAGGAGGATGTAGGACCTCCAGTTTGCAGAGTCAAAGCCCCAGTGGCAAGTCCTGTTTTCCAGGGATTTGTGCGAGTGGACCACGAATTTGTGAGGTGGGTACATCAGCCTGCAGTCCAAGCACTGGATGCAGGCTGCGCTGGGGTTACTGTAAAGCTCTGGTACCAGGAGTCCCTTACACTTCCCAAAGCACTCATGATACACCTTGAAGCTCTTCTCTGTAAGCTCCAGCTCGATCGTGCTAGAGAATTCCTTCTTGCAGTGGGGAGGATAGGTGCCACCATAAAGCAAGGCGTTACAAAGCCTCTCAGCATCAGTTTTAGTGATGAGCCCACAGGAGGGAGCGGAGAAGGGCAGGATGCCCATGACTTTGAGGATCTCCAGCTGGTCAGCAGTGCACCTGGAGCAGTAAATATGCAGCTCGTCACACACCGAATTGATCTGCTGCAGGGAGAAGTCCCTGAGCACCGAGTTCAGGATCTGGGGCAAGCAAAGCCGCTTTTCTCCACCCACCACGAAGCAGGAGATGGTTTCCCCTTCCAGGATGGTCTCACACCTCTCCGTGGACCTGTCCGAGGGCATGAAGAAGGGACCAGGCATCACCGGAGGCGGCTGGATGGGAGGCAGATGCAGCACGGGTTCCGCTGGGTCTTTGCCATTGTCTTTCTTGTACATCTCCTGTGCCCATCGTGCTGAGAAAGCAGCAGGGCCACCCAGGGAGCTCATAGAGCTCAGATGAAACTGTTCCAAGGTCTTCTGCAGTCCTGGATGAGGCTGGAAGCTGCTTCTACTTACAGTCTCCATTTTTTAGTTTCTATTCCCAAAACAAACAACAAAAATCCCTGGTTATCTTCCACGCCGGTACAAATCCACTCGAGGGATTTCCCCCCCCCTCCCAAATAATTTTTTTTTTTTAACAAAACAAACCAACCCACCCTCGCCTTTTCTCCTTCCCACGCGGCTTTAGCAATCCACTGTCGCTCCTCGGCGGACTCGTGCCTCTTTTCTTCTCTCTCTTTCCCCGCCGGGTTCGTCACGATCTCGGCCCCCCCGAGGCTGCGGCGCTGGCGGGCCGGAGCAGGGCGACCCGGCCCGGCCCGGCCTGCATCCGAGCGGCCCCCGGCGCCCCCCGGCCCCCCTCCCCGGCTCGGGGCCGCGCTCAGATGCGCGCTGGCGGCTGCTGCTCTGCGGCGCTCCCCCGCCTGTCCATAGCCGCCCGGAGGAAGGAAGGAAAGGAGCGGGGGAGGAAAGAATTAAAAAAAAAAAAAAAAAAAAAAGCAGCAGCAAAGAGGAGGGAAGCTAGGTCCAGGCGCGGGGGGGGGGGGGGAGGCGGCGGGATTCAGGGAAGCGGGGCGGCCCCGGGTGCGCGGCGGCTGGGTGGGCAGGAGGGCGCCTGGCCCCTCAGGGCTGCCGGCCTGCCCGGCACATCCCCGCTGCTCCTCCTCCTCCTCCTCCTCCTCCTCCGGCACGGCGCGGACTGCGAGTGCCTGCGAGCTGAGCTCATGCGGCTGGCCCAGCCTCCTCCTCCTCCTCCTCCTCCTCCTCCTCCTCCTCCTCCTCTCCTCCTCCTCCTCCTCCCCCCGCTGCCTCCGCCGCCGAGCCCGGCCAGGAATGCGCCCAGCTCCCCGCGGTCTGCCGGGAACGCCGCCCCCCCACACAGCCCCGGCGGCTGCACGGGGCACGGAGCCGAGGGGGGGGGGAGCACCAGGGGAAGCACCGGGGACGGCTTCTCGGCCCCCTCGGACGGGTTCCCCCCACCCCTCCGGGCGGCACCGGGGGCGCTGCGGGGCCGGGGGGGGGCCCCGGAGGGGAAAGGAGCGGGGAGCGGCGCCCCCTGGCGGGGCCCCGGGGCCTGGCCCCAGCCCCTCCTGCTGCCCCCCCCAAAAAAAACACGGGGTTTGGGGGGGCCGCTCGGGGTTGCTGGTGGTCATGGTTGCTGGAGACCCCTTCTGGTGAGGGGAAGAAGCGGCTCCGAGGGGAGCGCCCCACGTCCCGGCCAGAGAAGGGGGAGCCAAGCGGGGTTAGCCATGGCTTGTGGCCTCCCGGCCTGACTCTCAGAGCAGCCCCGGGCTGTGCTCACAGCGTGCGGCCCGTGGGGTTACAGAGAAAAGTTTGAGACGCCCCACAGCCAAACTGCACACACCGAACGCTGCAGGCCAGGCGGTCCCTGCTGCCGCAGGGTGACCGGAGCAGGGCCAGGAGCATCCCTCCCAGGGTACCAAAGAGCTCCTGGTTAAAAACCCCTGCCAGTAACATCCTCTACAACTCTGCCTATCACCTGGAATAATATGGAGCACATCCACGACATTCCACCCATTCCATCGCTCATCAGCCAAGCGGTGTGCTTTATTATGAAGAAACCCTTCCCACCATCCAGCCTCACTTTAAAAAAGCCCTGGCTCTTCAAGCAGCAGACACCCCTCAGTCCATTAGGGGTAAGGTACATGCTGACCATCATCAGATAGCAGCAGAATAATTCCCTAGATGGATTTAATTCAGGTTTTTTTGTTGTTTTTTGTTTTTGTTTTTTTAACTCGCTGAAATACAAATGCCCAGATAGACTCGACCGTCACGCACAGAGCCCCTGATTTTGTTAGAGCAAAATTAACGTTTGCAGGAAGTCTGCTCGATAATGGGAAAGCCTCTTACTTCTGGCTGCTGGAGTTTTGGTTGTGTGTTGTGTTTTGTTTTGTTTTGTTTTCCCCTCCTTCTCCTTTGCCTTTTGTAAAGAAAGGACAGCGATAACTGCAGGTCAGTTTAAGAGAGGTATTTTTTTCCCCTTCCGACTGCCTCTTATGCCAGTAAATCACTGGGTCGTCCACCAGACTGCTCATGGGTGCAATTCAGAAATGGAATTCCTGCAGCAGAGGGGACTACCAAAACGACAGGAAGGATGGTCTTGTGGTTAAGGCAGAGAACTCAGGACATCTGGGGTCTATTCCCAGATCTCCCACAGACTTCCTGTTGCCTTGGGCAAGTTGTTCAGTTCCTGCATGCCTCAGTTTCTGGATCTGCAGTGCTCAGATGGCAACCAATTAGAGGGGCAGCTTCTGAACCTAAACTCACGGTGTGACAGAAACCAGTCTTCAGCTCGGGCAGTAACAATACAGCAGAGCCTGCATTTGTCTCTATCCCACAGACTTCGTGGGACTAAGCAGCAGAAAGGCAGGAGAAGGGGGAGCGAGGAGCACTGTCGCTGGGGATTAAGGTGGCGGTGGTTTCTGGAGGCTCTGCCTCCCCTGATGACGGATTGTGAGCGCCGTGCATCTTAAAATCCCATTAATCTTTCCCCCAGTAACTGTTTGTCTTGCTCCCGTTCCAAAGCCCTCTAGCTGGAGAAACAAGAAGGGAAAAAATATCTCGGAGGAAGGGCCCCAACACCACAGTGTTTTTCTCACTCTCTCCCTTTTCTCCTCCCCCTCTCCATTGGCTTCAAGGCCAATAGCTCCTGGAACACAAACACTCTTGTAAACTTCTGAACCACACAGCCCTGTGGTGGGTGGGTGTTTGCTCCCTGCCTGCCAGTTCCAATCCACCCACAGATTCCAAAGGCCCAGAACAAAAAGCAGACTCCATTTTCCATATTTAACAGGCGATTCATTTCCCCCCACACCTCCACATCGCCTTCATTTTGCAGATCTCGGTGCCTCTCGCAAGTATCCAGTCCCACCCTTTATGTGTTCCCCAAGCAGAAGGTAGCATGTTTATGTATATTTTTCCATACACTTATGAAAAGTATATTCTAAACAAATTCACTGCAGTCCCCCTCTGGTTTCAGATGCCTGCTTGGCCAGGAAGCCCTGGGGACTCAGGGACTGTGCCGCCTATTGAAGCTATTTGACAAAACGTTTGGGAAGGGCCGATAGCGAAGAAGGAAAATAAGTGAAAAAAGAAAGCATGGTGCAGATGTGACCCATCCAAATTCCTACCGTAGCTTCCATTAGATGGTAAATTCCTTACAGCAGCGAGCATCTAATTTCTCCATGTCTGCCTTGTGTATATTAATTCCTAGTTGTGACACTCAGGTACTGAAGTAGAACCATTTCTGCATGGCTAGGATATTTCCTTCCCTCTCCTCCTTTAGAGATCCTCTGCGAAAGGTCAGTGTTTTCCCTGATACTTCCCTTACAGTGAAACTTGGGAGTGCCAAACTATCCAGAACCTGCAGAATAAGGGTTCATCTCTCCACTGAAAAGGAGATGACAGTTGGGCAGTCTTTTTCAACCGAGTATTTCTTTTTTTTTTTTTTTTAAATCAACATACAAATTCAGCTCACAAAAAATTATTTATGTGTATCGACTTCTTACCTTTTTGGCTGTAAAAAATGTTTAAACATTTATTTTTAAAAATAAACCACTTTTTAAGCATATTTCTCTTAGAATTGCACTGAAATAAGTGAATGTAAAAACATCTAGAAAGTCACAAGAAAAAAGATGAAAGATGAAACAAACAAAATATTCACTGAAGATGTCAAAAATGAACCCACATCAACAAAAATATTCTTTTTTAAAGTTATTGGAAAAAGCAACTATTAGATTTTTATTTCTTTTTTTATCAAAAAACAGATGCAGCTTGAGATATGTGATTTGTAGCAGTGCTATGGGATAGTAACAAAGCCATCTAGGCTCTGCTATTCGTATCTTTAAGCCAAATTTTGAAGGCAACCATTTTTAAAAGGATAATCCAATGCATATTGGAAGGCTGCAATCATAAAGCATCTCTACCTTAGTTGCTCAGCAGCTCGAAAGTCTGGTTGGGTGCAAATGAAGGGAGGACAGAAAAGCAGACCTCCTCTGTCACAGGTTATTCCCATTCCAGCCTTGCTCTGTGGTGTCAGTGAAAATATCCACGTTGGAAGCAGATCTCTGAGGTTATATTTTGAACCACAAAGGCTAGGGAGCTGCAAGACTGGCCTCCTCAGTCCTGGAAGGCAGGACCAGCTTGACTGTGACACATACAGTCTTGTACAGTTTGAGAGAAACTCAAGATCAAGGAATAAAGTGAAGAAAAAAACACAGTGGCAGAATTTGGGAATGGTAGAAACATACTCTGAGGCACACGTACAAAGTAGGTGTACAGAAAACAGAAGAGCTCTTATCTTCCTCCCTTTTAGTATCTGCAACCTGGGCATAGACGATAAAGCAGCCTCTCTCCAGAATACTGCCCCACTCCTGGGTCTTGCTTCTCCTCTCTCTGCAAAACAGGTTGGTTTAATATCTGATCTTTTCAGTGATGGCAGCTAGTCATGCTGTACTTTATGGTCTTAGTTCAGCTAACTGATGATGTTTTATTGTGCTCATAGCAGGTTCTGACACCACTAAGCAGAGAATCCCATGGATTCAGAAGACGTTTTTGTTATTGTCCTAACTCCATTCACAATTCTCAGTTCCAGCTCAGCTCTCCGTCCTGTCTCCTTCTGTATCTTTTACATCTTTGCAAAGCACAGAACCTCCTAACCCACATATGGCTCATATTCCTCTCTAGTTCGCATCCTTAGAGGACGAATTATCTACTGTAAGATTCAGCCTTTTAGCTCATGTTAAGACAACTGACGGTTTGTTTGTTCTTTTTTTCTTCAGAAGTCCCTCGTGCTGGCCAGGAGAGCAGCTAGCACGCTAACACGATTCAGAAGGCTATTCAGAACAAAAGCTGTCTGACTCCACTGAACCTAAGAACTGGCTTGAGTCTTCATGAAGTTTGACTGAAGGGCATACATCCATGGCTAATACACATAATGAATGGATGACCTGGTCAAAATAAGACTTGCTCACAACCTGTAATTCCCATTTACATGGCAAGAAACCATCAGACATCCTAGGAAATACAGGAGAGGTAAGGTGTTGTTAAAAGCACATGAAAGAGTCTCCATCTCTCAGATTTTTTTTGCCCCAAGTTGCCTGGTATGTTGCCCGGGGCTGCCCCTCCTACCCACACACTGTACCTACATGCCCCAGTGGATGCTGCCAAACACCTCATTTTAAAAGAGAGTCATGCTTTCTACTGCCAATAAAAGGAATAATTTACTGGAAACAGTCAGAGGGACACACAAACTGGAATTCTTGGGATTTCACAGGAGCTCACAAGATAGCCCTGGTAGATCATCCAGAGGCTTTGTCATTTCTATTAACACAGATCTTTAGCTGCTCAGCATGCCCAGGAACAGGCAAACAAGGCATAGCATAGAGCCAGCAGAGAAAAGGAGACGGATAGCAAGACAGAACCTTATTCCTGTGAAAAGGTAATGGAGCTGTTAGTATTCACCCTCAGTATTTCTCCCCAGCACAGTTCTCAGGCAGGATATCACCAAACAGTCACTAGCACCACTCTGGGGAAGAAAAATCAACACATTTCAGACAAAGTTAAACCTAAGACTTGGGCAAAGTATCTCATTTAGACTATCCCAAAGCAATCAGTATCAAAGGAAATGAGTGTGCCAACCTTGCACTACAGGAGCTGCTGTTTAGCAAAGCCTCAGCTTTGAGCTTCACCAAA